AGAGAGAGAGAGAGAGAGAGAGAGAGAGAGAGAGAGAGAGACTATGGACCTTCATGTGCACTGCCTATGCACTTGTAGAAACTGGAGTTTCAGGAGGTAGTGAGACGTGTCTCACACACACACACACACACACACACACACACACACACACACACACACACACACGGTGTTAGTGATGACAACAAAACCCAGCCCTCAGAAAGAGCAGTAAGTACTCTTAACTACTGTCTGCCAAGTATCTTTGCTTTGACTTTTATGTAGGATATACATACATACATACATACATACATACATACATACATACATAAAACAACCTAGAACAGTGGTTCTCAACCTTCCCAATGCTGCAACACTTTAATACTGTTCCTCAGTTGTGGTGACCACCAATCATAAAATGATTAGGTTGCTGCTTCATAACTGTCATTTTGCTGGTGTTATGAATCCTAATGTAAATATATGGTATTCGGGAGATCTGATATGTGACCCCCCGCTAAGGATTGTGACCCACAGGTTGAGAAACACTGAATATGATTAATTTGGACAGGGTCCTAATTTGATTCTCTGCTGATCAAAAGCTGACTTTATCTTACAACTCTCAGGTCACACCCCATCATTGAGGGAAGTCACAGAAGGAACTCAAGGCAGGAACCTGGAGAAGGGAACTGAAGAAGAGACCATGGAGGAATGCTGCTTACTGGCTTGTTCACCATGATATATACAGCTTTCTTATACAACACAGGGCCACTTGCCCAGGAGTGTCACTGCCCTCAGTGGGCTGGCTATGCCCCCACATATATAAATCATTGATCAAGAAAATGCCCTATAGGCTTGCTTACAGTCCAATTGGATGGAAGCATTTCGCCCTTAACTTTCCTTCTTCCCAGATGACCCCACTTGTGTCAGGCTGACAAAAATAACAAGCACAGGCAGTAGCCATTTTATTAAGAAAAAGTTATTCCTTTCAACTATGCTATTCTATGCAAGAAGAATAAAAAATGAACACAAATGAGCCACAACCAATAATTTTTATTTGTTTTTTGAGACAGGGTTTCTCTGTGTAGCTTTGGAGCCTGTCCTGGCACTGGTTCTGTAGACCAAGCTGGCCTCAAACTCACAAAGATCCACCTGCGTCTGCCTAACAAGGGCTGGGATTTAAGGCGTGCACTACCACCATCCAGCTCACAACCAATAATTTTAACTCTTGATTTTTTTTATTCATATGAATGAGGCATATTTATTTCTAGAATCCTTTATTTGAATTACCCAATGCTTCATGATATCATTCTTCGTGCTACTCTGCTAATGAAACTCTTTTAATTAATTCATTTTAACCAGCAAGATTAAACAGAGAGAAATCAAAACCCTATATTTGAAGACAAACTCCAACAAAAATAGAGTGGGATTGAAAAAGGAGAGAGACTGAGAGTATAACAGAAAGAGAATTGCTCAATTTCTCTAAATTTATTTCACATGACTCTGTATCTGAGTACTCCTTTAAGTGGCACCACAGCCCACCTCCACACACACACCTAGTGCCCTGTTGTTTCAGTGGAATTTTGGACCTTGGTCCCCTAATGCTCTTTCTAGTCACCTAGCTGTGTACTCTTGGGAAGACATGAAACATTTCTTACCTAGGCCAGTTCATTGTTCTTGAGGCTTCTAGATGGTCTCTGCTTCCTTCTTGGAAGTCATGAGATTAATGCCAATCTTCATGCAGATACACTATTGAGGCCCTGAGCTTAAGTGACCTCTGAGTGGGTGGGACTGTAGGTATGTGCCACCCCACCCTTGAGGCATGCTTTTCTCCAGCTGTTCTTGAATGTCTCAGTGCATCTACACATGCCCATGCTCAAACCCTGTCTCTTGTCATTCACGAGCTGTGCTTTCATCCACGTGAGACTAGACCGACCCCTACTTCCTGGACCTATTAACAATTCTAAGGCAGGATTTGTGTTTCACCCCATTACTAATGTAAAATTGCAGCCAGTTCAAACCTACAGAACTGTTATGAGTAAGTAAGGTCTGACATACATGAACCCCACAACAGTATTCTTTGTGTTGTTATTTAATTTTCCAGTCAGCATGACTGACACAGCATGATTGACAAGTAATAACTTTGTATAATCCTGTTTCCATCACTACAGCAAAATGCCCAAGGTAACCAACTAATAATAGGGGAGTCTTATTTTGGATCAGGTTTAAAGACTCCAGTCCATGCTGGGTTGGCCCCATTGTTATAGGTGGACACAGCAATGCCTTATGGCTTGCTGGCCAGCCTGCCAGTCCAGCTTATGTGGCAAGTCTCACACAGTGAGAGATCTTGCCTGTGCCCACCCTGCCAGTCCAGCTTATGTGGCAAGTCTCACACAGTGAGAGATCTTGCCTCACAATAATAACAATAATAATAATAATGGATGGTGCCTGAGAAACGATACCTGAGGTAGTCCTCTGATCTCCACTCGCACACACAAAAATGTGCCATGTGCACACACATGAAAATGGACATACATAGAGAGAAACAAAAAAAAAGTGGTCTGGTTAAATGGCACCATGGGATTTGAAGCTTCTTCAAGAATTTCAAGATTGGTCATGTAAGAAATGATACAGTTCTCAGTGAAGCCAAAGAAAGACCCATGAACGGGGTAGCGGGGTCAGGGCTGGCGGAAGGGCATTCCATAGGCGTGCTGAGAATATGTAAGTATATGGTATACAGCTTATGTTCCTTTATTAAATAACAAAATATAAAATGTTATCAAATAAGTGACATCACTATTAAGAAAACAAAGGAGTGTTTCATAGATGTGTGTAAGTGACAGTGGCTAGGAGAGGGCATCATCACACTTCTGTCCTTTAGCAATTGCATCTTAACGGTGTTTCAGAAACAGCATATGAGGTCAGCTCATAGGTTGAACAAAATACTTCGGGTTGCTGGCCAAATCTACTCAGCTCAGAGTTCTGAAGCCACCCTCACACAGACAGCAGGGGGAACTCATTTCACACTTTTATAAAATTGATTTTGATTGCTTTCAAGGATTAGTCAACACAGAGCAAAGTGGAAAGAGTACCCCAGCTACAGAGGCTCCAAGGGCTGGTGAAAAGTCAACCTCAAAAACGCTGTGTCTCTGATTTAAGAAAGAGGACCAAGTCCTGCTGGGGCTTAGCTGATCTGTTTCTGACTCTACAGACATGGATGATCAGCTTCTGCAATTGAGGCACTTGCCAAAGTAGGGTGGAGGCAGATTTGGCTACTGGAGGGGACGAGGCAAAGTCCACGTGCTCTTGATTCTGTCGTTTCAAACACTTCAGCTCTAAGCAATCTGTTTCCTTCAGGAGTGAGTCTCTGTCTTTGCACGGGATCTCCTTAGCAACACTGATCCTGAGGAGCTGCAGCAATCAGTCAGTGTCAGCAAAGGCAGGTCTGTGCAGCAGTGTCAAGGTCAACACTTGTCACCCTTGCTCCTCTTCATAGAAACATCTATTGTAATGAGAACACCTCACATACATTTCACATATTTAGTAACTTCACAGGCCTAGACAATTGTGTCTTATAGATTTTAGACTATGCCTTGAGTCAATCATACTTTTACTTGTAGAAATAGTTCATGCTCATTGCTCTCTAGTATTGTGCTGTGTAGGCATATCGTAATGTATCTGCCTGGTATCCAATTGATAGGCATTAGGATTCCAAATTTAGGCCTATTGTGTAGAGTGTCACCATGAATTTTTGAGCTCATATATTTTTAAGAAACATATCTGTTACCTTTATTCATAGTCTAGAGTCTTTTGTTATTGGGACTATATGTGTGTAGTGTACGTGAATGTGTGTGTAAATGCACGTGTGCATGTATGAGGAAGTGAGTTTGTGTACATGTGTGTTCAGACTTAATACTGTCAAATCACCTGACAAGGCTGTGAAAATCCCCACCAGTGGGGACGTGTCCCTCTTACCCAAGTCCTTGCCAGCAATGTGGCATTTCCTTCTTTCTATAGCAACTGTTTAAATCTTTCAGCCTTGAGTGTCTTCCTCAAAATTTCCTTTGCTATTTGTGACTTGTGCATTTTCACATAACTTTTTAATGAGACTGCAAACTTTGGCTAAATCTGCTGTGCTGTAGGCTGGGATTGCTTGAGTCTGTAGTCAGTATGGAGAGAGTGGACCTATGTTTGAGGCTGACTTGCAGGGATCACAAAACTGCTCTCAGTCATGCTTCTTAGTTGGCACAGAGGGCATGCATGTGCCATGCTAGGTTATTCTAACTATTTGGCTTTTACCACAGCGTGCAATATTCAAGTTCTTATATTATTCATATGAAAACACTTCAATTTTTTATCCAGAGCTTCTTTTGCCAAATTTAATTTTTAATGTTCATATTTTGTCTACAGATTTTTGAGATTTTCTTTCTCCAAGATAATTTGTCTCTAAATATTGACATCTTCTGTATTTCCTTTAAGTAATTACCACTTCTTACATGTCCTTTCTTTGCCATATGATGAATATACATGGTGATACAATGTCCTTATCTTCTTCCATATTTAGGAAGAATGCTTTCTGCTATTCATCACTTGGTACAGGAGTCAAGGAAATTATTTCTAATCCTACTTTGCCAAAAGCTTTTAAAAGTTTTCAATTGAATTTTATGAGATGAGTTCTTCTGCTCTCTGCAAATACAATAAAGTACCCTAAATGACAAGCCCAAGGTGAACACTGCATCCTTCTGGTGTGTGTGTGTGTGTGTGTGTGCGCGCGCGCGCATGTGAGCGCACGCGTGCACGCGTGCATGTTTATGCACACTCACCCATAATGCAGGGAAATGTAGAGGCCATAAGAGTGCATTAGATTTCCATAGCTAGAGTTACAGGCAATTGTGGGTAGTCCAGCATGAACCTGGTTAGAAACTGAACCTGGTCCTCTAAAAGAGCAGTTCATACTGTTGATTGCTGAACCGTCTCCAAACTCTACTATTTATTTTTAACAATATTTATTTTCAGAGGGCTTTACTTAGGGTTTTTTTTTGTCTGAGACATGTTTTCTCCATGAAACATCTCTGGCTGTTCTGGAACTTGCTCTGTAGACCAGACTGGCCTCAAACTCACAGAGATCCTTCTGCTTCTGCATCCCGAGTGCTGGGATTAAAGGCATGCGCCACCACTGCCAGGCTAACTTAGGGTTGTCATGAGAGTTTGCACTCTAATTTATTTTTATATGTCTTTCTTCAATCTCACATTAAACTTGTCTTGTATAATGTATTTGTAAGAGCCTACATTTTCCCTATTCTCTGAAAGAGATTGTGTTTTACTATTTGTAAAAACACAAACCCAGGTAAAGTTTTGTGGTCCACCCATTGTTGTGTCTCCCTCTCCTACCCTTGCTTGTTAGCTTTGGTCCACTTGACACAAACTAGAGTTACCTGAGAAGAGGGACACTCAGTTGAAAAACTTCCTCCATCAGATTGGCCTGTGGACATGATTGTAGGGTACATCTAGTCAAAACAAACAGGAAATTAACAACAGACGAGTACCAGTTCCACCTAAGTCCAGGTCGGTGAGCCAGTGTATTGGAATCACCATGGGCTAAGGGTTGCTTAGAGGAGCAGGGACAGCTCCAAGGCAGCTAGCTGTGTCACTCAGTATGGGTGGTGACTCATGAATGCTGCAACCCTGGAGCCCTCTGAAGTGAAGCTGTACAGGTGAGTCTCTTCCCTTAGCAGATGTCTACTATTTATGCAATGTCAGTGTCTGGTTTGTGAAGCTTGTAAATTTCCATGTCACATTGTGGCGTTTGTTTACTTCCTGTCTCAAGTGTCCTGGAGAGAAAACTTGAGTGGGAGAAAATTGCTACACCACACAGAGTGATTGGCTGGAGACAAAACATTGTGGAAGAGAGGGAGACATCTCATAGTGCATCAGACCTGACAAATGCCAGCTTGGCATGAGGTCTGATGGCACCATTGCTGGTGTAGACCATTGACACCATGGTGTGAGAATGACAGCTCACTCTGGGTCCTTCTCTCCCAAAGGCATGACACCATGGGATTTGTGAAAGGAACATCTGCTGCATCCTGGGGAAACAGCTAGTGCACAGACATGAAGAGTGCTCCTGAAACCCAAAGATAAGACACGTCAGAGATGTTCACTTCTACCATTTATGAGGAGAAATATGAACTACACATAATGTGCTGTATCCAGTTGAGATCCTGGGGCAGAAGCAGACTAAGAGACTCTCAACAATGTGTGACTTTTAAAATAGTAGCCTATGACAATTGCTTATTAGCATTCTGCCATAAAGCATGATGCCAATGATGTGAGAAGACAAGTATAACCTGCTTGAGAAGTTGCTGTTATACCCTCACAGCTTTTCTTTGAAGGAAGGTGATTCCACAGTAAAGAAAACTTTATATTTCAAAAATTAGCTTTCTCCTACCTTTTGAAGGGAAACTGGGTAAGATCATGTCCAATTTCCTTAGTCCTGGCACACATAGCCTAGAGCACATAACTGTGTAGATGGTGACCAGACTACACTAAGAGTCTAATGACTTGTTGACCTGGAACTTTGCTACTGATTGGCAAGTCTGAATATATATATATATATATATATATGAGATAATACCAAACCATCTGTACTCTGAACTTAACTTACTATTTCATTGAGTATTCTCCAACTCTTCTGGTATGTAAGAAATTTGGTAAGGCTTTATCAATAGTTTATTGATAGTTTATAATTAATAATAATCTATTAAAATATAGGGGCTGGGTTGATGGCTTAGAGGCTACGAGTGCATGCTGCCCTTACAGAGCACCTTAGTTCAGTTCCCAGCAGCCTGGTCAGGCAACTTACAACTGCCTCTAACTCCAGCTGTCCTGTTCGGGCCCCCATAGGAATCTGAACTTACATGCATGTACCTCCACAAGGGCATGTATGCACATACACATAAATACAAATTCAATTAAAGTGGTGCATTTACAAAGATTTACAAAAAGGTTGGACTATATGTTATCATGGGGCCATTTAATTGTCGTTTCCTAGTAAGACTCTCCTTATGTAGAGCAGCTGCAAAATCTTTTAAAAGCTATCTATTTTGTTCCTGCAGATGTATATGCATTCTGATAGCACAAATTAACCAGAGTGGTTTTGCATCTGCTTCTGAAAGCCTCACTGCAGCAGCCAGGTGTGCTGGAGCATGCCTCTAACCTGCTGGAGCAGGAGGGAGGACCTGGATTTAAGACTACTATTCTGTGGAAAGGGATATCAGCATAGAGAAAAGGCAAAAATGGCACAACATGATGATTTTCAAAGTCCTGATAGAGAGAAATGCCTGTCCTCTTCTCTCGTAGGCCAGGGTTTGTCTCCTTCCCAAATTCCCATCTCATTGGTTTAGGAGGCAAAGCTTTGTCTAATGAATAATTTGAGGTATTGGGACTTCCCCTTTCTGACTGTGGCCTCAGTCATGTAGCAGGCTGTCTATAACTCTCCATCTCTCAGAGCTCTAGGACAAGAGGATATCAGCCACCAGCTAGGGAGGCAGGGGGCTAATGCCTCCTGCTTGTCTGTGACTCTGAGGGGTTCTAAGCTCACCTCATACTCCAAGTGGACAATCACATGCTATCCCTCACACCTGGGCTACATAGAAAGGCCTTTTTTTCAATAAATAAAAAAATAAAATGAATCAATAAAAATATTTGCTTTCAATTAAGTACTCCTCTGTGATCACCAAGACAACAATTTTGTAAGTAGAAACCTCAATAGCATTGTGCACAGTCTGGCCACTTATGTTTTCATCATGTTCAGACACAACATTCTCCAATTAGGCTTCAATCAACTTCATAAATTTCAAAAATCATTTTAAGAAAAACTATAGGACCATTTAAATTTAAAATAAACATGCTAAATAAAAAAAAACATGCTTTGTTTTGAGATACTAAAACTGAAAATCTAGAATGTTACTGTATGTACAAAATGAAAGTCATTTCTGTTGCTAGGTCTGTGGTTATAGCCAGGACACTCTAGATCCCCATGCCATTTTGTGTCTTTATGGTTTAGTAAAGATGTCACCTAGTGAAATTCCTATGTCATGAGAATAACACAACTGAACAGGAGTCACAACTCACCAAGTTCAATATAGTATTAATTTTAAAAATCCCAGATCATCTCTTTAAGAGCATGGGGTATTTCTTTATCTACTGTAAGACATTTGAATAATTTACTAAAGGAGTGTGTGTGTGTGTGTGTGTGTGTGTGTGTGTGTGTGTGTGTGTGTGTGTACATGCTCCCTTCTAGAAAAAGAATCCTAAAACAGAGAGTCCCCTCAGAATCCTAAACACAAAGATGCTAACAGGTTATACAATATATAACATTTGGGATGAACACTCAGTGCTGAGTTCAAACCATCAATATTTCTGAAAAACAAATTGACATTATAATAGGACAGTTCCCTTTCTTGGCACAGGTTATCAAAAAGAGTGGCTTAAGAAATTATGCAGCCTGTAACAACTTATATCAGAAATAGAAATATTTAAAATATAATATTAAAATATTAAAAAATAACTTACATACCCATCAATCAATCAAATGAGGTTGATTTGAAAAGGAGACCTAAATGTCTTAGTCACAACACAGAGGCCTATTTTCAGGGTGGGCACTGCAGACGAGTCCTGTGTGTAGCCACCATCAGGCCTCATGACAGGCTGTGCACCTGTGGGAGAAAGGATGATGACAACCCACATGGACACTGCAGCATGCATCTCCAGCAAGGAGTGCCAGTGAGCTGGGCCAGTTATAGTTATAGACAACCACAGCCATCCACAGAGCCTCAGGTACACAGGCCACACATCTGTACCCTATGTAAACACGTAATTCAAGGTCCATGTCTTACGTCTGGACTTGGAAACAAAAGAATGGCCATTGGTGGGACAAGGGGAAGAGAATATGAAGTCAAGAGCCTAAGATACAAAGCTAACTGCTAGACTCTTGAGTTCAGACAAAGCTCTGTCACCTCTGTGTCCTCCTTGGAAGACACTCTGTGCTTCCTGCTAAGATGTGAGTGCCCACTGAGGAGACACTGAGGTGACATGCTGAATTAGCTCAGCTGGAGCCCTGGTGACAGGCCTTTTGGGGTTTAATTTGGCAGGAAAGTGCCTTCCTAACAAAAGTAAATATCTGGGTTAGATCTTCAGTATATCTGGGTAAAAAAATAAATATATACATTTAAATATAAAAGCCCCATCAATACGCCATCATACAGGTGTGCCTTAAACAGAACGGAAGGCTTTATGCGAGTTGATCCACTGCATTTTTTTGGATAATTTTGTGAAGCTGAGGGGCTTCACAAAAAATCTCTCTCCTGTAAAGTAAAATGATCTTTTTTAAGACATGTGGATTCTTACATCAAATACTGAGGTCATACTGAGACCTGCAAGGTGACAAGGCATTATGGTACAAGGTAGTAGCATGGTTGAACACAAAATTTGTGCCTGAGGTCCAGGCAGTTTGGGAGGAATAAGGATGGATGAGAAGCCAAAGTTCCTTCTAGCTCTCTGGAAGAGTGTGGTGCTGATTCGGCACAGTGGGGTGCCACCTGTTTTCATAGGCCTCTCTGTGAGCTCTGAGGATGAAGAACCAGTTTGGACCTTTCTCCCCAGGCATCCTGAGGTGATGGTGAATAAGCCACAGGCGTATTTCTGCTGACCATTGACTTGAGTATTAATGCGTGAGTACGTGCACACGCTTGCATTTCATGTACATAGATGTTTCGTGTACACGAATCATTTTTGTTCTCTCAACTGACAGTGCTTTGTCCGGGTACTGGTGTCTGAAGGACACTTTGTCCCTGGAGGGAGCATCTGGATTAAATGTACTGAGGGGGTGGGGATGGGAGGACACCCATGGGGGCAGGAGGCAGAGGAGGAATCCTGCCAGGAGCCAGGCCTCAGCTCCTTGACAGATTATGCTAAATTAGTGTCCATCCAGAAAGAAATAGAACAGAGGTTTACTCTAAAGTGAGGCTTGTTTTTAAATCATCCTTGGCTGCTTGTAAGTACACAGAGATGTCACGGGGACAGCCTTAAAAATACAGCAAGAGTAAAGACACATCATCTTTTGTCCACAAACAAACAATGACCATTTGGGAAATTTCAGGTTGTCTCTGTCAGGCGCTAACACTGCCATCTGCATAGGCTGTGGCAACCCGAGGCTAAATAAACCTGGACATGGAATCTCTCTGAGTCAGGGTCACTGCCCACTGAGCCACTCCAGAGGCTAACCAAGGTCAAGGAGCAGCTGCCTGGGATGAATCATTGGCTCCACCCTTACTGCATCAGGCTCCCGCCTGCTCTCCAGTTTCTTCCTGGCGTCTGCTTCCTCGTTATCAGGCTGCCTCTGTTTGCAACCAGGACTGACTCCTTTCAGGACCCAGTCTGGACATACTGGGTACACAGTGCTTATTTGCATGTGTGTGTGTGTGTGTGTGTGTGTGTGTGTGTGTATGATTGTGTTGCAGTAGTAGAGAAGATAAGACAGTTGCATTGAAAATAACATGGAGACATACCCTTTGTTATTACAGAGACTGGCCACCTCCCCACCCCAGTCATACTTTCTGGGCTCCATTGTGTACATCTCAGGGTCTTTCCCTACACAAGAGATTCTGAAGGGTTCTCAGTGTCCATTTGACTTACCCAGGTCCTAGCTGATGGCTTCACTCTTCTCAGTAGTTGAATTCTCCTCATAGCTCCCCAAATGCACCCAGTGCTGGATGGAGTCTGAGCCAGTGTACTATTCTCTGGTCTGCTCTTTCTTGCCCCGCCCTCTGTTGCCATTCTAGGTTAACACATAGGGCATGTTCAAGCTTCCCCTGACTGAATATCATCATATTTGATTCAAACTCTGGCATAAATTCCTGCCTGACACCTCATAGGCTTCAGCATCACATTCATGACTCCACACCTGAGAAGAACCCATGTTCAGCCTATCATGCCTGGGTTGTTACTTTACTTGTTTATATATGTCCCCTTCAGCTAACCTGTGTCCTCTATGTAACGAGGCTCATATTTACTATAAGCCATCTACCTAGCTTGCTTGGATGAATCTTAATGCATGTTTGTCATAAAACTATACTGGACATAGGTACATGGATGGCTATGTCTTACTTATGGGAAAGACACTGAGAAATTCAGCAGCAGCCAACAGAGTTACAGAAGTACCCCAAACAGTTGGCTTGCTACACAATTAACTGTCCAAACACATACTTCAAAACAGTTCATGCTCCAAATCTTCAGGTAAAATATAAAGAAAAATTATACATTCTATCTGGAAGAAAGTCACAATTGGGCCAAAGTAAAAATAAACTATCACTGGATAAAATTACTACCTATCTTATGGAAAAACAATACTTTTAGCATGTCAATACTCCAGCATTCACTTTATCTATATTCAAATATATCCTCAGGAAGATGATTTTGGGCAATCACAAGATATGCACACACACACATACACACACACACACACACACACACACACACACACACACACACACACATATATATTAGACTTTTTGAAAAAATTCTGGAAAAGGACAGTCACATAGGGAATAAGTCTAACTATATATTATTGTGAATTACTTATTTTTGCATTAAGTAGAATTGGTCAGATTTGTGTTGCTGTACCAACATACCTGAGAAATCTACTTCATAAATGAAAATGGTTGATTTTAAATGATTGCTTCCGTATTTCAGGCTGTGGTCACTTGGCCTGCCACTCCAGAGCTTTCTAGGGACCATATGGCAGAGGAGGCTTGCTCACCTGATGGCTCCCAAGAAGCAAAGACAGAAAGAGGAAAAATAGGATCAATGTCCCAGAGTTTCTTCCTAGGGAATGATCGCAATGACTTGGATCCTCCCATTCTCAAAAGGTTCTGCGAACTCTCCAACAAGTACCACAGGCTACCCCTCAAGATCTCAGCATATAAGCCCTAGGGAGTGTTTAAAATCCAAACTGTCTCAGGGTAGCGTTAGAAATCTACCAGCATGCCATCTGTAAAAAAAGACTGAGACATTCAAAAGAATTAAATAGAGGAACGCTTGGCATTTTATCTCTTCTCTGAGGAAGTAGAGAGTGCAGTGTACAGAGTGTGTGATGAAACTTTAGTCACCCTCCCTCCATCCCTGTGCCTCAGCCACTGTATTTCCCCCAGGCGATAACTACTGTTGCCAGGTTGTATGACTCCTCCACAGCTGTCCTGCAGAGCCCTGTTCTGCTCGCACACATGAGAGCAAGTACATCCAGCACCTCTGTGCTGTTTTACTTCACACTGTTCCTGAGAAACCAGCCCCTGTCTGGATAGTTCACTAACTCTATGGAGCACCCCACTGAATGGATGGTCCACTGGCCACCCAGCCCATATCTTCTGAGTGCATCTATGCACTGCCATGGCTGTTCTACTCCATATACCTACTGACCATGACCAGCATTGCTCTGAGAAGAATCCTACACATATAGGCACCACTGCCTTAAAAGATGTCACAGATGTAACTTGGACGTTAAGTAGTTCTCACACAAGATTCATGGCTGAAAGGCTTGCCATCACAGCTGGTGTTGTTAGCATGGTGGTGTGTCAAAGATGACAAGGTCTGAAGTTCATTTCTCAGGCACAAACCCTGACCAAAATATAGTTATGTAACTTTGGAAAGCTAAAGGCATGAAGTAACAGCTAATGAGGAATGTCCTCCAGGGAAAACAAGATCACAAAGACCGAGAAGTGTGGAAGAAGAAACTGAGAAAAAAAGTTCAAAAAGACTGCTTAAGCCAATGTTTCTCAACCTTCCTAATGCTGCGACCTTTTAATACAATTTCTCATGTTGTGCTGACCCCCAAATGTGGAGTGATCAATCAGCAGTCAATAGGGCCAAGGTTTCTTTATTCGGATACACCAGCCAAGCGCAGGCCAAAAAGTGCCAGGGCAGCAAGGCATCCAGGCCAGAGCGAGAAGGAGGGAGCAGAGAGAAGGGCAAGAAGAAGGGAAGGTCCACGTGTCCGTGGTCCCTTAAGAAGCCTTCCTACGTCACCTTAGACTTCCCCTCACCATGCTCTCACAGGCGTGTTCTGGCACACCTGTCAGGGCTACTAGGAGGTGGGTCTACAGTGTCTCCCTACACCCAAACATAAAATTATTTTCCTTGCTACTTCATAACTGTAACGACCCTTATGAAAGGGTCATTCAACCTCCATAGGTTGAGAACCCTTGGCTGAAGCACTACTTGGAAGATTGTCTTTAGCAACTAGCTAAATGGTATATAAACATCAGTGACCAAAAGAAAAACTACTCATTCCTGAAGTAAGCCCAGAGTCCTGTGTTTCTGTCTCCCATTGCTTTCCTTTCCAGGTCCCTTAGCTGCCCCCAGCTGTGCTGGCTGCAGCAATGGTGGTTCCAAGAGGGCAATCCTATCATCATGTCATAGCGTGATCCACTCATCAATGGATTAATCCATAAACAAGTCAAAAGCTCGATGAACTATTATAAAGAGCTCCAGATTTGGAGGATGTGGGTCCTAGAAGACAACCTTTGGAGCCAGCTGACTCCTTTTACCCCTCCTCCTTCCCTCCCTGCTCTCCTGCAAAGCTTAGCTACTTTGCTCCATCACACCACAAGGCCAGAAGCAAGGAAAGCAGACAACCATGGTCTGAAACCTTGGAGCCATGAGCAAAAATACCTCTTTACTCCTCTAGGTTACTATTGTCAGAGGTTTTTGTCATCATAATGAAGAGCTAGCATGCACTCACGAATACACATATATGTGTGTGTATGTTTTTACATGTGTGTGTATAACATAGTGCTGTACATGTCATCTCACCAGTTTTCATGAGGAACTGATCACAAGATGTAATCAACTGGTAAAACCTGAGGAAGTCCCTTACTTAAAATTGCATAAGACTTGAATATGATCTATGCACAACTGCCTACATATTTTAAACACTTTGTATTGAAATGCATGCATTATGTAAACAGTTGGCATCATTTGAGGAATTCTAAGAAGAAAATGGTCTGTATGTTTTCAATATTGGTGCAACTGTTTGTCCAGATATCTTACCCGTTTGGTGAAATCCTAAGATCAGATCTGCTTCTCCTGTTCTTTGCTGACTGTTCACCACAAGGAAAACATGTTCTCTGCCACATGATTGTATCATGACATAACACCTCACTAAAGGAGTGAAAGCAACTGGCCCCATAGACTGAAACCTTTGAAACTACAAAGCAGAACAAGCTTTTCCTTCTTTATGTTGTTTATCTCAAGCATTTTGTCACAATGGCGGAAATTCTACATGTCATTCACCACCTACCTATGCATCTAAAAGGAGAGATGTCTTCCCATGATTCTTCGATCACTTCACCAGAACCCACTATTCTTCCCTTGGCAAGTTTCATTCTGATATTTACCCCTTGTCCATTTAAGCCTGTTTTGGGAGAAGCTAGCTCCATGGGTCAGGGGTTGATCAAGCCCTAAGTTAATAATCACTGAATGAGCTATTCTTTCCAGGAAGTGGGGGAGAAGAATGTTGGCTAAAATTAGACTAGCAATGAAGGAATAACCCTCCAATGTCTGATTTGACTTTAGACCCACAAAGAGATGGAATTCGTACTCAACTCTGTTTGGGTGAAAACCTGAGACTAGACAGCCCAGGGACCTAGAAGAAAACTAAATACTATTGTTCTAAAAGAAAACAAGCAAAGCAAAACACATAGCAATAAAATGACTACTAATGGTATCCCGCTGTACTTATAAATCAGCGCTTTCCCCAGTCATCATCAGAAAAGCTTCCTCCTGCAGCAGATGGGAACAAATACAGAGACTCACAGCCAGACATTATGTAGAGAAGGAGAAACATTGGCACACTCGGGCCTAAAGGGATGTTAGCATTAATTTCCTCCACTCAGGGCTCAGGTACCCCTGAATATGAGGCAGCAAGAATCTAAGAGTCAGAGGATGGAGGACACCCAGAAAACAAGGCCCCTTAAATCAACATGATCAAATCTCATATGAACTTACAGAGACTGAAGCAGGATGCACAGGCAGGCACAGGTCTGCACCAGGTTCTCTGCATTTATATTATAGGCTCCACTTTAGTGTTTCTATGGGGTTCCTGTGTGTGAGAATGAGTGGGTCTCTGTTTCTTGAACCTTCTCTTGCTCTCTTCCTTCTGTTTGTAGGTTTTGTTCAATTCTATTGTATTGGCTTTTATTTTACCTTATTATATTTTATTTTTTAAAAATCCTAATTTTCTTGGCACTTTCTAATTAATAAGGAATTGGAAACAGTTTTGCTGAATTAACAAAGCTTTTCAGAGCATGCTATGTAACCTTCCATTCCTCTTTTCTCTGAAATTTGTACCAGCTCTTGGTGGTCTTAGCACAGGGGCCTCATCTGCATGAAGTCACTTCTAAAAACTACACTGTTTCTTTCAAAGGACCTAATCCTATAATCGGAACAAGTAAAATGTTTACTAAGTTGAGTAAATACAATATTCTACCACCAGTATTAAATAAGTTGATTTTCAGAAGTGGTTTGCAATGCAGGGGTTTAAGCCATGCAAGGTTAGAATTAGCAAGCAGTATTGTTAAAGGAAGGTCGTGACCTTGAGGGTGAGTTCAAAGGAAGTTGGGATCCTACTATTACTAAATTATTTCAGCGTTCTATGTCATCTATTCAATCTGATTAGTTCATGTGTTCATATTAAAGAAATACCTCTTGGGGGAAGATATCTCGCCATGACAATGGCTTTCTCTCCTACCACAACTTCCAGAAATGGCTCTAGGCCTTTTTCCTTGGCTATGGGCTTGCACATATGTGTTCCCACCAGTGTTTAGAACCTCTCCTGATGCCATGAGAGGATGTAACCATGGGTGAAGATTATGTGCAGAAAATAGATGGCGGAAGCTAGCAGGGGCAGATTCCATACATGACTGACTGTTGAAGCAGTCAGCCGGCAAATCTGTCCTGCCTTGCACTTGGGATCCAAAAGACCTTTGACCCCTTCAGCACTCATAGGGTTGTTTAAATGGACTTCTCTCTCTCTTCCACAATCAAGTGCACCATGATTTGGGGTGTGTGTGTGTGTGTGTGTGTGTGTGTGTGTGTGTGTGATGTGTATGTATTTATGTGTCTTGTGAATACACTGGCTGCAAGAGAGATACCCAGACAGATGAAAGCACTGCTCTCAGCCATATGCTTCCACTACCGCCTCACCACCAGACTGAAAACAAGTTACCCCACCCATAGACTGAATCGTCTTAAGCCATAAGGCAAAATAGACTTTCCTTTCTTTAAGTAGTTTATCTCACTGACCATTCGAAGTAGATCAGAACGCAGCAGTGCTATGGTGATGCATTTTGGGGTGAAAGTACAATTGATTTCCGTCTCACATTTATGCTAGATAGTTTTATGTCAACTTGACACAAGCTAAAGTCATCTAAGAGGAAGGAACCTCAATTAAGAAAATG